GGACGGCTAGCGCAGATAGCCCTCGTGTAGCTTTGCGCGAAATTCAAAAACAAACAAAACATATATCCCTTACACCCAACAGTGCTACACACATATATGAAACATCACAGTCCTTACACTCAACAGTGCTACACACAGATACAAAATATTACGTTAATATCCCTTACACCCAACAGTGCTACACACATATATGAAACATCACAGTCCTTACACTCAACAGTGCTACATGCAGATATGAAACATCACATTTTTATCCCTTTCACTCAACAGTGCTACACACAGATATGAAACATCACATTCATATCCCTTACACCCAACAGTGCTACACGTAAATACAAATCATCCACCCAAATACATAGTGATTACATTCCCTTACATCCCACAATACTAGAAATATGCATTTAGCCGTGTTTCACATTTACAATGAACAGTGTGTTGTACAGAATATAACAATTTTACAAGTTTTTGCCCAATCCGAAATTAACATTACAATAAAAACCTGTAACAGCTTCAGATGTCTGACGCATTTATATAAAACACATTACCATTAGTGAACATCTATTTTTCATTTGGTTATCAAATCTTTACTACAGACTTTGTGGCACGTATTTTACGCACTCTTTACTCAAAGCCACAGTCGTGTTAATAAAGACATAGCGTTACCAGGTTTATTTAAGATTACAGGACAACTTAAAGCTGCATAAAATTTGTTGCTTTGGCAACACAATTAGCTTGTATTAGATTTTTGGTTTCTACGATCGCGTGACAATGAAATGCTTAAGGAAACTTTGTCTGAAGGTGTTGGTAATGCCGACAAATGAACGAGGAAGAAAAAAGGCGTAATGTATGACTTTCACGCCAGCTAACAAAGAATTTTAATTTCAACATTAAAACTTAATACCACAGACTTTGAACAGCATACAGACAAATGAGCACCTGTTTCAGATTGACAACATTTTAATAAATCGTTTAATAGCTTCAATTGAGAAAAGTTATTTGAAAACAAATTAAGGATATTTCAGGTATCAACCAATTTACTCTTCTGTCTGCAATTAAAACAATGCGCTAACTATTTCAAAAGAATATCTTCCAATAGGGTAAAGTCTCCCCCACCTCGTAGGTCAACGGTAAGTTTACGGACTTGCAATGCTGAAACCCTAGGTTAGATTCCCTCAGTGTATAGAGCACGTATAACCCATTGTGTAGCTTTGCGTTAAAAATCAGCAACAACATTTTTCATTGTAAGATAATGCCTAACTTTGCACATAAAAACAAGAAAAACTACTTTTTGAATTATTTTTCTGTTAAGAATATTGTAACGCACATTTTCTAAAACTAACTTAATATCTTTTGGTTAATCACGCAAATAGTTTTATTAACGCTTATCTAGAACTAAGTAGGTGCTTTTTGACAATATACTACTGATATAAAATAGCTGTGTTAGGCTCTTCTCGATAAGCGAATTTTGTTCTTACTTCTACAATAATAATTCGTATTGTTTTAATCTATGTATTTCCTGTAGACACTTATGTCCAAGTTGATTTTTTAAAAAAGGATGTACAGTGGTAAGATTCAAGCTTTAAGGATGTTCTTATCAATATTCTTTGTTGCTTCTTTCACTTCAGCTGATGAATAAAATGAAGCTTATCAAATTATTATTATTAAAATGTTCTTAAACTCTGAACAAAGCAAATTCACAGATAATATTCATCATTTAACCAAGTCACTTATCCACGCTAATAAAGATATCCTATTAATCAGGCGCGTTACAAAACATGAATCAGACAAACCATGTCACGTGATCAGCAAATGGTTTTATTTCTAAAGAAGTTAATAAATTAATTAAATTAAAAGATATAGCCACCAACAATCACCATCTTTTATCAAATGCGACAAAAGGGACACTTTTTCTTGTCACTTTTAATGAGCCGTTATAATTAGGTTACAGTGCTGTTTTAAATAATATAAGTCTTTTAGTGTGTCTAATTGAGCGTTATAACGGAAAACCGAAATCGCTCAAAAACCTAAAAAAAATTGTTAATGTCAGACAGTGTTAATAATAATATAGAGGTCGTTATGACTGATTGCAGAACTTTTGTCGTGAAATTTGTTTTTAAACTTAATTTCTGACTTTGAGATTTGTCTCGGTATATACATTACTATCTAATAAAAAAATATTTTCCTAAAGTTAATTATTATTACAAAAAATTTCACCATCTTATTTCTTTCAAAACTCAGTGTAATTATATTAACTACGAAAAACGACTAAATCCTAGCTTTATTTTTTAGCAGTATCTCAGTGTTTATTATTTTATTTTGGCAGTCCACCGAAGGGACAGCGGTAATTCTACGAACTTACAATGCTAAAATCCGTGGTTCGATTCCCCGCGGTGGACACAACAGATAGCCAAAAGTGACTTTGCTTTAAACAACCAAATCAAAATTCCCCTGTGGGTTAGCGATAAGTTTACGCTTTTCCAATCGGGGGCTCGATTCCCCGTGGTGTATGGAGTGCAGATAGTCCAATGTGTAGCTATGCATTAAGAAAAGAGAACCCCCATTTTTGAGTATTTGTTGGTAATTTTAATGTTCCTCACATTCAGTCATATAAACATAAAAATAATGATTATGACAACAAAAAATCGGAATTTTTTCAACGTAAATGCTGCCACCTATTGAGGGAATAGAAAAATTGAATTCATAAAATCATGCTGTTTTCATTGAGCAATACGTTGGTACAGACATGTGAGTCTTATAACCTTTATTCCAAGTTCAAACTTAAAAGTACAATACAAAAACCTGTAACAACTTATTTGCCTTTAACTTTCAGAGATTCTGTACATTGAGCGTGTAAACAAATTTTAAAATGGCTTTGGTAAAAAAAAACAGACGTCTAGGACGACAAACACAAATGAATACTAAAATACACATCTCGCGTGCAATATATTTAAGCTGCCTTAGAGAAAGGCTAAGAATGAAAACCTGTGCCTGAATCAACAAATATCTCTCAAGATTCAATTTAGTTTTAGTTTTAGAATGCGCAATCTAAGAACCATAAATAGTAATGTAAGAACTGCATGACTAGGAGGTTAAATTCGAAGGTTCCGACTTGTAACCGATTCCTGTAACTAGCAGGAGTGTATGAAAATGGATAGCCTAGTGAACCTTGGTCAAAGCTGCCGGGTTATTCTTTTTTTTAACACAGTGAATTTATAAATACATTTCTTTAATGCGAGAAACAGTCAGACTTTAGAGTTTGGAATTGTTATTGTAAACTCTTTCAAGCGAAACAGGTAGATAAGCTGTTCTATCACTAACGTTAAATACGGGAATTTTATCTGCTGAGATTATTTTATGATCAAGCATAGCACGTTAAAGATAACTCTTTCATTGCTCAGTGAGCTTATATTTGTTCGATTGTTCTTTGTACATTTACCAATTTTTTTATAACTTTGCGCCCTCTGTAGGAAGTGGACAGATTCAACTATGGCAGTTCCTGCTGGAGCTTCTTTCAGACAGCAGCAATGCTAATTGCATCACTTGGGAAGGAACGAATGGCGAGTTTAAATTGACAGACCCGGACGAAGTAGCACGCCGCTGGGGGGAGCGCAAGTCGAAACCCAACATGAACTACGACAAACTCAGCAGGGCACTACGCTACTACTACGATAAAAACATCATGACAAAAGTTCATGGGAAGCGCTATGCTTACAAGTTTGACTTCCAAGGTCTAGCTCAGGCCACACAGCCCACAGCTGCAGACTCGACTGCTTACAAGTATCAGTCAGACCTCTTCATGTCAGGATACCACCACAATCCTAAGTTGAATTTTGCTATGAGTGCTCACACGGGCATACCCTCCACCACAGGAAGCATATTTCCATCACCGACGCCATATTGGACCAGTCCGAGTGCCAATTTGTATTCCAACATAGCGGCAGCCTCCACACATACCATGCCCCACCACCCAAGTCACGTGGCCTCCCACATTGGCTCCTATCCACATTACGCATAACATTTGTATATAGAAATGGATACGTGTTAATACTTTAACTGAAACGTTGTGGAAGACTTATTTGGAATAGAATGGAAATGAAAGTGTACTTCCTCGAGTGTCATAGGCTTCACTTACCTTAAAGTGGATATGACATAGGACTGGAAATCACGTGCCTGCACGTGTTTGTTGTAACTGTGACGCCACTTGTAGAAGTTATTAATGTATCATAAGTTTAATGTGTGCATTCACTACATTATGTGGTGATTTGGGGGAAAATCTAATATTAAAAGTATCCTCTTAAATGTGTTATGGCATATGTATAATAGTTGCACGTGTTTCCCAACACATTCCTCGCTGAAGAACGGAAAGTTGATGTCTAAAATCTATGAACCAAAATGCCACGCCCTTTTGTCCCGTCAATGTTCCTTCAACTACACTGTCAGATATATCCAGCATCGTAGACTTGTTTGAAAATATTTCAACTTTTGTAGGTGATCCTGTGTGCTAATCACTTAACCTTGATTTGTTTGCCCAGATGTTATTAGAAGAATCCTGTTCATTCAACCACAGTTTTACTTCCTACATAAGTTCTTTGGGTTTGTTGTTCAAGAATCAATGATTACATTTTAGCTAGGCAGACAGATTGGTTTTATTTTGACTATATTGAAGATTTATTTGAAAATATTGATGACATCAATATGGGATTATTCATTTGAAGCTTAAAATATTTCAATGAGCTAAGTATATGTTATAAAGGATGTTTGGTTTTCCTTTGTAAATTTTTGTGAAATTGGAGGCCTTTTTGTTGTCTTTAGCTTTAGAAAATACTGAATTTAACGCGTTATTAAAGGTGCGGCAGAAGACAGCAATGCATTTCAAATTTTGTAATCTCCGTATTAAACATTCATTAATTGCTCTCATACATATTCTTATTTAATGAGACTTAGACATTGAATATTAAACAAAGCAGTACTTTTAATTCACAAAGTATTCTTATTGTCTACACTGAACAAATGATCCTCCTATAAAATATATATTAAATATTCCTTTGCAAATGTAGTAAAACTGTTAGTTAGGAATAATCGTTTTTCTTCGCGCGTTAGAACCTTCCGTAGTTTCGGTTAAATAAAATTAAAGGAATTTAGTTAAACCAAAGGAAGAGAGATGTAGCTATACAACAAAAACATATTAAAAGCGATAAATCTCATTAAACACCTTTTATTACCTTTTCCATTAAAAATAATTACGATTATATTTAGAACTCTTCAGTAGTTAGTAATAACGAAATAAATATATACCCTATATTTTGGTTGATTTGAACTCGTCATCAGAAATATAACCTGTACTTTGGATGATTTAAACTCGTCTTCAAAAATATAACTTTTATTTTGGTTGGTTTGAATTCGACTTCAGAAATATAGAAATATATAGTAATTAAGAAACACCATCTAAGAATTCGGTTTTTTAAAAATGAAGTGTGTAATATTGTTTCCCGCCTTTTGACCTGATAATAAATGGCATTTTTTGACTTTACGAAATGTTGCCTAACTTTAAATATGTTCAAAATGCCACCTATATTCTGTTCAGTTTAAACTTCATTATCAGGTTCAGCTTTTTTGTTACAAAGGCACTGAAAGCATGAGATTTATTATAAGTGTTTTATATTTATGTAATTTTTTTCTAATTCTAGTCTGACGATCTCATATTTTATAAGTTATTCAGATAATTAAAATATAATTAATGTTCCTATGGTTACACCATTCCTAGTCGTAACGTTATTGGTTGGTCCGAATCACTTGATACTTGTACGAGTCCCACATTTACCGCTGTGATACTATCCAATACAGCTAGCGTTTATTGTTTATCAGCATAATTTATTGAAATAGTGAGATTGTATAATTATGTAATTAGAACATTTCACGCTAATCGTTAACCACGTAAGGGGAAGAGGTAACGGGTGTGAGAGAACGCTTCATGATGAGGTAAGTTAAATGAATTTAAGAACTAAAGCCTCGTCGTGTGTTAAAACTCAGCCTGGAATTTTTGACAGTATACTTGAATTGAAATGGTGGTTGTTTTAAAAATTCTCTTAGTTCAGGACTCGCGTAAGGAGACTTAAATTCTACAACTTTTGTAATACAAAATACAGTATTTTATGAGTTATTTTATTAAATTTGATTTATTTTGTTTTTCATAAAGAACTCAGTTTTACCAAAAATATTACTGGAGTTAAACTTATATTTGCATGGTAATAGTATTATTTTTTATCTATTCTGTATGTTAAAGGAGCATTAATTTTTTGTTCCGTGTTTAATTTTGACCAAAGATATAATTTAGACTTATTTATCACTAGTTCATTATCAGATACAAGGTCACCTGACCTGTGGTGAAATAAAACACAACATAAGTGATGTGGTTATCGTGATTGTAGGACATTTTACCCATGTATATTAGCCTCAGAGGGCATTATCCTCATGCCTAAAGCATGTAATGGGACATTATCCCCGTACCTAAAGTACATAATTGGACATTATATCCATGTATATTAGCCTCGTAGGATATTATTTCCGTACTTAAAGTACGTAATAGGGCATTATCTGCATAAGTAAAAGAGTTATAACCGTTATCTGGTTATGGATGTGTGTTATATATACATACTTATTTTTCCATGTAAAAATTATAATCCTTTATCATAAAATCATTATTAACTGGAAATAAACAATTTTTAACCGTGAGATAATGCCCTTTAACGCACGTTAGGCGTGAGGGATATTGTCCTTTAGGACTAACGTTAATAAGAATAACGTCTGTACCCCGATTATCACACAGGGGGTAGGGTATTGTTCTAGCATTTTATTGACTATTTACTGTCCCAGTGTATGAACTAATTTTGATGTATTTTCACTTATCTTCAATAATTTTTCTTTCCCAAGTTGACACATGTCTATTGCTGATAAACTCTTCGTTAGGTGTTTAACTCTCTGTTTAACCTGTAGCCAGGTTTCTTCTCAACAACGAGTGTAGCAGCATTGGTGTTAATAACAGATCTTTCTCAGTGGTTCCTTGCAATGTTTAGTGTGGATAAGGAATACACAGAAGTATTCATTTCTGCCACAGTGCTGAAGAAAATAGCACACCTTAGTTTGGACACTAAGATTCGATGAAAAACTTGAACAAGTCAACCAAGAGGGAAGTTTACAATTGTGTAAAGAGGTTTATCAATGTAAGCGCTATATACAAACGTCTCAAATAATTATACAAATTAAATAAGTTATTTTACAAAAATTTGCATTCCTTTACCAGTGTCTTGGGTAAATACGGTAAAAAAATAATGAACGAAGAAACTGTTAGCAAAAACGTATGTTTTCTTCAAAAATGTATTGTATAGCAGGACACCTAGCGGTATTAATTTAAAATAGCGGTCTGTTCCTTTTTCCACATATTACGTGTTGCTGATCTAGAAATGTTTCAAGTGTGTGATACATAGGCGAAAGAAGATTAATTACAAGTGTAATTCCCTTTGCCATTTGTTGATATTGTGAAATGTATAATATTTATGTTCCTTTTAAATTTTTTATTCTATATTTGGGCCACTTATTTATTTACCTAAACGCCAAGCTTGCATGTATTAGTACATGTGTCTAGTCACTAAGATACACTGATGAATGAACCAGCACTAAGATATGACAATAAGTTTCATGGTATAATTCATAGAAAATTCCCAAGTCGTAAAAAAAAAACGTGTACCTAAGATGTTCGTAGTTATGTGATTTCCAATACCACGCTGTGATTGACTAATTCATAAAGTGTGATTAGCTGATCTAAATCTGGTGTATATATTCTGTAAATGTTGATGGATTTTGGTAATAAAATATTTGATTCCCTTCCGCCCTCAAAATATCATGTTTCTTGTACTTGAATTGCTGTAAACGTTTTTAAAATTTTGTAATAAAAATTATTGTAGTTCATTATACGACTGTATCAAAAAGATAATCAAGACAAATTACAAACAATCGAAGTGTTTTCACGAAATATCAGATTTCCACAAACGAGGCTATTGTTCGACCACCACCTACGAGATTTTTAAACGTGATATCTAAAAGCAAATGCTATCACAGTACTCCAGTCTCGATAGGTGGATTTAAGGATCTTTTATTGCTTGTTTAACCGTTAACTTTTGGAACTCTCATTATGTTTAAAGACAGCTACAAATTTCATCTGCAACAGATTTCGAACCGCGAATTTTGACATAACTTTTGGAACCCTTAGAATGATTACAGACAACTATAAATTCCATCTTCAGTCGGTTTCAAATACTCATTTCAATAAAGAAAGCTGCATTCAGATGTATGTACTGCCAGATTAATATAGAACAGCACTACCTTCTGAGTATGGAGTGTCTGTCATACTCCATGTAAACTTGTTCAAAACTGAAACATTGGTTTACTGTTTGGCATCATACTCTATGTAAACTTGTTCAAAACTGAAACGTTGGTTGACTGTTTGGCGTTTACATGGAGTATGATGCCAAACAGTCAACCAATATTTCAGTTTTGAACAAGTTTACATGGAGTATGATGCCAAACAGTCAACCAATATTTCAGTTTTGAACAAGTTTACATGGAGTATGATGCCAAACAGTCAACCAACGTTTCAGTTTTGAACAAGTTTACATGGAGTATGATGCCAAACAGTCAACCAACGTTTCAGTTTTGAACAAGTTTACATGGAGTATGATGTGTTCAAAACTGAAAATTGGTTGACTGTTTGGCATCATACTCCATGTAAACGTGTTCAAAACTGAAACGTTGGTTGACTGTTTGGCAGTTCACTTTTTAACCATGTCTTGTTTCTTGCGTTGTGGAGTTCACAGAGACTCGCAAACAAAAATTCACTTGAAAGTGAAAACCAACTACACTTTTCCACTACTTGATATTTAAGATGGGATCATCTGATGGCAGACCACAAAATGGCGTCTCATGTTCTGAAACTAAGCGCATGCATCTTAAGTAGTAGAATTCTTAGTGAGTCCTACACGTTAGTGGATGTTAATTTTTTTTACTAAGACAAAGTTATATCTATAGATCTTTGTATAATTTACTGCAAAATAGCCTTAATTTTATTATCAGTTAATTTTAGAGTTGTGTTTTAAGACTAAATGACATTAGTGAAAAGCGTAAGTATTTCATTTGGGAACGTGACGCCCTCAGTGATGGAAACTGTAAATGTGCTGTACAAAGACATGAAACACCTAGTGGGGAAAAGTCCAAATAAAAACATGTAATTTAAAAACAAAGTATTCGCATTTGTAGAAACTGTGAGTATATGTCATTTAATGAAAAAAACTAAGTCCGACTTCTGGAAACATAACCCAATAGTGATGGAAGATGGCGTCGATGTTGGTAAAACAATTAATATATAATAACAAAATGCTTCCCAGTGGCACAGGGGAATGTCTTCAGACTTACAACGCTAGAAACCGGTTTTTAATACCCGTGGTGGGCAGAGCACAGATAGCCCTTTGTTTAGCTTTGTGCTTAATTACAAAGAAATAATAAGAAAATAGCGCCTCTAGCGGTAAAACGTAAACATATGGTTAAATATAGTTTTGTTGGTGTAAATGGTATATGCATTTTGTAGAAACCTCAACATTCCCATAATGATCATACTAGTGAGAAACTTAAAGGAAAAATAATCGTTGTGTGTTATTCGGTAACACCCTCTCAAATGTTTTTAGTTTGTAGGTAAGTCGTATCCTAAAGGATTGAAAAAACAAATTTAGCAAATTTATTAAACAAGTAAATGTAGCACATCTTTTATGGTTTAAAATATCTTGAGAAATCCGTAATCCATCAAGTAGAAAAGCTGTCTGTCATCGGAGGCTTTACGAAACAGGAGTATCTAAAGATTTGAGAGATTTAGGCGCCCTCTATGAAACATTCTTGAATTATAGTCTGAAAAAAACCAAACTAAGGAGAAATGATTAACATTAGTTTAAACTCCTTCATCATTAACGAGGATTCTATATTTTTTATATAGTTAGAATGCAAGGTTACGGATTGGAAGGTCCAAAGTCCGAGCCGCGATATGCCATTGAATACAGTCCGTACTCTCTAGAATGCCTCCACGGCTGAAAGGGTGAGCGTGTTTGGCGAGACGGGGTTTCGAACCGTGTGCCTGAGATTGAGAGATGAGCTCCCTAACTATTTGGCCATGTCGGGCCAAAAAATGCCAAAAAGACGGTAGCAGACTTGATTCTTTTTTGGGCTCCCAGATGGCTCGGCAGTAAACTTGAAAGCTTATAACGCTAAACAGCAGGGCTCAATACTCGCGGGGAAGCATATCCCAGAGTTATTCTGTGGTTTTATCTCAATGACGCCGAGTTCGTTCGAACGTCTTTATTTAATATTATATTGAACCCTTATCCTACAATACAGAAACACGCAAGTAAGCTAAGCTTGTGATTACGAACACTGAAGAGTTTGAAACGGTGTCAAACATTTACTGAAGAAAAACAAAGAAAATTCGTAATAAGCCATCAATTGTTTTGGAGTTAGATGATACCGAGGATTCCTATAAAGTAAATATAAAAGTACCTATTTTGGAGTAAGATGACACCGGGGATTACTATAAAATACACGTAAAAATACTTGTTTTGGAGTAAGGTTGTATAAGGTTTTGCTATACAATAAACGTAAAAGTACCTGTTTTGGAATGAGATTATACTGGGGATTGAAATAAAAGAACATAAATGTACCTGCTTTTTTAGCAAGATGATACCTGGGATTACTATAAAATAAGCGTAAAAGGTACCGTATTTTTCGGTGTATAAGACACACTTTTTTTTACCCCAAAATTTGATGTCAAAATCTGCTTGCGTCCTGTACACCGAAGGTATGAATAATATATATGTATATATACGATATACACAAGCCATGTATAAATATATTTAAATAGGCATGCATATTTTAGTTCAATTGAATGTGTTATTTATAACAATAGTAGTTTTTTCTTACTTTTAAAAACATAACTATTTATAATGC